GGAGCCCTAGGGTCCATACATGCAACATTGAATGGAGTTGCCTCTTTGAAGCTGGCCGGCGAAGGAAGATCGAGGCTTTTCATGCTTCCCAAAGGCCGCCATACAACGCCGCTCAGTTTCAAGGGGTTGAGCGAGCCGGCTGGAGCGAGCAGCCTGGCTCTCTGCTCCTGCAAGCAGCTGAAGCTGCCTCAGCAATCTCCTCTGGCGACATCTCTGACAGCCTTGACTGAAACATCGAGAGCATGCTTGTCCCTGGTTCCAAAAAAGCCACTCTAGAAAGAGCGCTCGGCTTTCCAGAAACTTGAGATACCGCATTTCCTCCATCCAGTTTCGTGTCCACCTCCTCCTTGTCGTCCTTGCCTGCATCAGGAGTTTGAAGGCTGCTGTGTTGCAGGAGCTTGCAGAGAGGGCGTTTGGACAGTGGATTCTTTCACTTTGGCCAGTGGAATTGTTCTTTCACTGGCATACGGGGGTTGACACACACACACACACTGGAGAAGAGTGCTCCGTAGAGCGGAGTTTCAGAAAATTCGTAGCGAGCAATAGCACTTTAGTGTTACTGTAGTAGCCGAGAGCATTAACACTTTACTGCAAAACAACGTATGAGACAGCATTGAACTGACTTAGAAGCATCCATGAATGTTAAAATTGCAGGTACAAGATACTGTGTCCAGTATCTCATCCAACCGAACACCATTGCTTTGTTAGCTCGGCTGGGTGAACGGCCGCCGTGCCCCCTGCTGCTGTACAGGCATGAAACGATGAAAGAAAATAGAAAGCTAGATAAGTTAGTTCCCTTTGGGACAGGGGTTGACACACACACACACCTTCCCACCTTTCCACCTCCGGAAGTGGACTCCGGCGGAACAAACATACACTGTCAAAGGCTCATGGTTTCCAAGAAACGGCCGGTCCTTTCCCACGTCCTCTGCGGTTCGGTCGGAGTCTGCGGTTCAGAGTCTCTTCGCTTCGAAGGGTTTCAAGGTCCGGGGCGTCTGAGGCGCTGGCGGCTCCGGAGGCCTCTTGAAACCTGAGGTGTTTCGGTGACCGGTGTTGGCAGGTGGTGTTCTGAAACCAAAGAGCTGCAAGTGACGGACGCTTTTTTTTTGGGGGGGGTGTCCATATATATATATATATATATATATATATAGTCCAGTGGCCGAGGTGGCCCGTTTTTAGAGCCCGGCACCTATTCCCCCAAGAAGGCTAGGAATGAGGTCAGGTTGGTTTGTTGAAGATTGGAGATCGCAAACCACAAAAAGTGAGAAACTGGGCAACCAAGCAAGCAACCAACGAAATCAACAACAATAACAACAATAACATACAATAACACTAATAATGACCAATCTCCACAAAACATTTCAACATACTCATCCCCACACATGCGGGAATTCTGCTTGAGGGGGATGAACGTGATCCTTTTTTGGTCTTCGGTGTGGTGGGGACAGTCTCAAGAGGCTCCAGCTGCCATTTCTTCAAGATCCACCTCACTGCTAAAACGACTCCGCGAGCACAAAAAGCTGCCCAGCTGGGCCGGAAGCTGCCATCAGGGGGCGTTACCCACAGGGCCCATGGAAGAATTTGGACTTGTGATTTAAACAGCAATAAACTATTGCTATAATAGTGGGAATAGGTCATAGACATTGAAAAAAAAAACAATGCACATGGCTGGAGCAAAAGGCATATATATATATAGTCCATCTGATGTGCCTTGCTCGTTGACATTGACTGTTGCTGTATTGACCAGGGTGTGTTGCCTTCTTGTACACTGTTGCACGTATACGCGTCGGATACTCCGCGCCATTACCTCCAAGTCAAAGGCCTCACTTTACTGGAGAGTGTCATACAAAACCAATACTTAAGAAGGTTAAAAACCAGGTTTTACTGGATCAGACTGGATTTGTACGGCAAAAATGTCCGTCTTCACAGAAACCCTGGGGAGGTCGACGCCCGCTACTGCATGTCTCCTTCATCTTCTGACCCTATAGATGTGGTAAATAAAGCTAAATGTGAAAATGAGGCCTCAAGGAAAGGGATCCTCCATCTTCAACGGTCCAACGGGGCCTGTGCCATCGGAATCCTGCGCCAGCTGGACCTCTGAAGTTCTGATAACTCATGATAACTCCTATTGGGCTCCTGACAGAAGCGTTTCAATCTTCAAGTGACCAAGAAAGCACTTCTGCACAACAATCAAAGTGTCGCAAGAACCAAAGGTTCACTCTATTTCACAGTCACCAACACTGGAACCCTGTGGGTTTCTGCTGTCATATCAGCATTCGTACTTCGTACGTACTCGAGTTCCTCAGCATGTGTAAAATTGCACCGAAATCGACGTGGCATTCCTTCGCGGTGACTTTCGAGGGCAGTCCCTGTTGGTCAAGGAAAGAAGTCTTCCTTTCGGGACTATAGGCCATCCAAGTAACCATGTGATGTGTTCGGTCAGAGTCGTTTTTTAACCGATGATCTGTGTGCAGCTTCCAGTCCCACAGAGTTCTTCCAGTCCCACAGAGTTCGAATGAAGATTGGAAGTTGGCGTCTCAGGTCTCATGGTCTTGTCTGCCAAGCTGCAAAGGAAGAACATTAAAACAAAAACAGCAGCAACAACCACAAACACGCGCCAGTGTATGGGTCGACCACCAATATATATATATATATATCAAGGTCTTGAAACTTCTAATTCCGATCACTCAACTCAATGTCCCACATGCTAACATGCCACTCCCTTCCTCAAACAGCCGGTTCTGCTGTCATTTCAGGTGCATTTCACGAAACGGGCTGGGAATCCTCGGGCCAAGGGCTGGCACACGGATGAGGACAAAAAAGCACGACACCGCAAGCAACCCATGTGTATATATACATATACACCTAGAACCCAAACATGACCTGCTGCCTTGATAGGAAAAGGCGATGTTTTGGCTCCAAGACAGGGGTCAATCAGGTTCAAGGATGCCTATAGCTATAGATGTGGCTTAATAATAATACAATTATGTACATTTAAACAAGACTGATGCAGTGATGATGTCTGGATAATGCCAGGATTTGATAGAGGAAGTGGCCATCCCCCAAAGTGGCCGGCAAACATGCGAATGCATGGCCATGGCCCCGCCCATGAAATCCTCTACAACGGGGGGGGTGAACTCCACTAAACCCAGAACAACTGTCTTCATTTCTTCAATCCTTTTTACCTGGTCCAGTTTTCTCTTTGATCCAGTCATCTAGAACTGAACTGCTTTCTGCGGAAGCAACAAAAAGCTGCTGTGAAGGTATCAAGCTCTGAGAGCCCCTGGCAAAACATTGAAGAGAGGTTAAGTGACCTGAAAAAGGACAATACAAGGGGACCTATAGGATAGTCTATAGGGTTCTTCAACCTTTGTTGGATGGCAACATCTCCTTGCTGAGATGAAGGACATCACCAGCCCTGACAGGCCGCCGAATCCATGATCTGTCGCCGCCGCAGCACTCAGATCCTTATGCGGCGACTCTGCGCCGATGTACAAGTACACTAATCCCGAGTACTTAAAATAACAATTGTAAAAAGAAATACTGTCAATCCGCCGACCCCACACCGTGGGGTGAGGCGTGACTGTCGATGTTAGCCTTAGCCTTAAGCCTTAGCCTTAGCCTTAGACCTTAGACCTAGTCCTTAGCCTTAGACCTAGACCTAGACCTTACCTCCCCTACCCCTCCGGACCCTTGTTGCAGTGACGAAATCCTGCCGGGAAAGCGACCTGGATTGTCCAAGAATCTGCCATCCCAATTGATTTACATCTTGGGGCACCCTCTCGACCCGCGCGGGAAAATAAGCACGGTCCAAAATGGTCCTGGGCTCGAATCCCGGGCTGGTCGCGGCATGGTCCCGGCCAATGCCCTTGCTTTTTCGTAGATTTTGTCACGTTTTCTGTTGGTTTATGAGATTTTCAAAGGCTTTTCTGGCATTTTCCTAGGAATGCTCTAGGCTTTGTCTTTTTGGGTACCTGCTTTGGTGGTGCTGGGTTGGGTCTAAATTGGTAAACCTGGGAGGTACCCAAAAAGTCGACTTTTTGGGTACCTGCTTTGGTGGTGAAGGGTTGGGTCTAAATTCTTGGGCAATGATCGGGGTTCATGCAAGAGCTGACGTCCGATGGTAAATCTGGGAGGTACCCAAAAAAGTCGACTTTTTGGGTACCTGCTTTGGTGGTGCTGGGTTGGGTCTGCACTCTTAAGGCTAAGGCTAAGGCTTAAGGCTAAGGCTAACATAGAGCAAGGCTAGCGCTAAGGTTCTATCCCTTGGGGGTCGGCGGCTGCAGGCGGTAGCCTGGTAAATATATATCCAGATCTATCCAGGAATCCAGTTCAAAAATAGAACATCATGCGTGGAGGGGGTGGCCAGTGTTTTAAAATAGGTGGAGGGGATAAGGGGATTATAACTATCTATAGCCCACATGAAATGGGAGGGGTTCAGAAAGGAAGCATCAGGCCTCTCCTGGAGAGTTGATTTCCACGACATCGGGGCGGCACAGACACTTAAGAAGCTGGAGGGAGTCCCACAAGAAGAAAACATACCAGGACAGGGAACTTGGGACAGGGAACTGGGGACAGGGACCTGGGGCAGGAGTCACAAGACGGGGTGGTTTGGCTCGTCCCATCCAGTGAGTGGATGTGACAGGAGCACCCCGACTTCCTCCATGGATCGCGGCCGTTTGCGACTGCTGGTAGAAAACCGATGATCCTGGTGTCCCTTACTTGAAGGCCCGGAAGAAACAGGACATGCGCGGCTGGTCATGGTACTGCAGCAGCTCGTCTACGTAGTGCGGAGCTTCTCTTTACCACTGAAGTGACGGGCAAAGGGACCGATGACTTGGATCCTAGTAGTACACCTTGACAAAGATGTTTCATGGCTGCCATGGTTCCTGATGGCCACGCCAGTCGGCGGGTCACCCGAAAAGCCACGCCACACCGCTCTGAAGCTCCGCGAGCTCCGCGGAGATGCGCGCGTTCCGTTCGACGGCACGGCCTCCGCTCTAGGCTCGTGCAGGGCGGCCCAGCCACCAAAAGAGGGCGACGAGGACCTGCTAGCTTGGCTGGAGGACATCGGACATTGGAGGACGTATTTTGGGATGAAGACATGGGAGGAAAACTTCCGCAGAAAAGATGGAGGGGTGATGATGGGTGGTGTGTACGTGTGATGGTCTAGGTTCAAGACACCTTGTTTCGAGCCTGCAGCCTGTGGCACATGGAAGGGCGCGCGAATGAAGAAATGGTATCCAGGAATTCATCACATGCATCACACGCTTCAACATCACATGAAGACAATCATCTGCTGACATGGAAATGTCTGAAAACAAGGTATGCATGCTCAATCCTTTGACTCTATCTACCTCCCCTTTTGGAGGTGGCAGCCAGTTGAATGTCTACCCGTGCATGTTGAAAACCCGAGGGCTCCAGGTACTCCTCAGAAGGTCCCTGTCCCACCTTCGAAACCAAAATGCGACTGGAGCCCTAGGGCTTGTGTTTGAACCCTCGTTGCCCTTGTGGCGGTGTGACTGGAGCTCCTTGAATTGCTGCTGTGCCCGTGACATGGTGAGCAACATGCCGGGCTCAGTGGTGCAAGTTTCCAAAAGCGTCGCAGCTTGGTGGGGCGGGTGTTAGAGTGATGAAACCCAGTGGGTTCAAAAAGCGCACACACATGATTTACACAACAAAACGTTCATCATATTTGAGCCCTGACTGACATCCACGAAAACAGAAAGAACCAAATAATTGCATATGTGTTATTTTTTTCCGTTTTTCAATCCCAATCTCCTGGTGACCTCCGGCTAGCTACCCCAGTCTTCCGGCTCTCCGTCCGTACCATCTTCTACCCGCGTCTTCACCGAGCAGGAAACCATGGACCGAGTCTGAGGCATCCCACCAGGAGTGATAAAACGAGTCCAAGGAAGACCTCAAGGGATCGCCGCCGATCAGATCGGGAACCCGGTGGAGAAGGGGAGACTGAGGTGCAGACGTATTATAGTGGATTGAGAGTAGATGGCACGGACCCCAAGAGGTGGTTTATATGAACCCCCATGTAAAGGACATCTTGAGGTCAGTGCCATCTACTCTGAGACCAGTGTATACGTAAACAAAAAACGCACACGCTGGACCCATATCCCTCCCCCCCGCCCGCACCGAGAAACTCGGCTCGCCGCCGCTGTGTTTCCACGGTGCGGTGCCCATCCCTGACAAGACTCCATTCCTGGACTTGACATTGTGACATTCTTTCGACATCCGGGGGGTTGCTCACTTCGACACCCGGGGGGGTTGCTCACTTGATGTCTATCTGGAAGAAATCACCAACCTTCATGGCGCAGGTTGCTCAAACGTCCTCAACCACTGTGACCTGCATCTTCCTGCCCATCTCCCGTGAAAACATCCAGCGCCCATCACAACCTCACAAGAAGGAGACGGGAGTGCCTAATTACATACATGCTGTCTCTCAGAGCGTGTATATGTACCCATAGGGGGTATAGGCTATAGGATGGTATATAGTATAGGGACGAGTGTCATGGAATCCAGCTGAGCAGCGCCGACTTTCTTCACTCTTTTCTACCTGCTGTCCTGCACCGTCCTGCGTCATTGGCTGGACGGAGCACGATCTCAGCCTGCCCGCGATGTTTAAGGGCAGGAGTGGCAGCCGCAAAGATCTCTCTGCAGTGCCAAGTGAAACAGCTACTAAAAGGCCCTAAAGGTTGGAGTCTGCCTAGGTTGTCCGCCAAATGTTTGACAGGTGCTGTGCTACTAGAGTCTTTGCAGCATGAGGATGACATATAATTTTGGAACATGAGTCACCCAAACGCTCCGTGAAACCAGCCCGACCGGTCCCTCAAAAGGATTTGATTCCCCTCCGGTCCAGGGTCGCGTCTGGGAAGGACAAGTTGTAGCAACAGAGGTGGGTCAGGACCCGAACTAGACTATCCCAGGAGTCCCGGTACCCCAGGTTTTCCGGGTCCTATGGACACGGTCGCTCCCAAGTGGGGTTATCTTATAGGTTCTTCAGCGGCTAAGCATGCAGTCCTTCACGTGGGCGCCGCTGGAAAACCTCGCCTGCACCTTGGGGCCTAGATGGCGTAGAGAGGGATGTGAATACTTGTTGCAGGGGTTGAAGGGCTATCTAGTGTTAAAGTCTTTTTTGTTTAGTTGGTTTTGAGTGATCTGCGGGGCGAGGGCGAACCCATTCCGGTCCTTCGGGGTCCGGCGTTTCTCCGGGTTTGGGGTTTATTCTCTTGATTTTTGCTTTGCATGGTTATGGGGAGAACGGGAGCATGCGACTCCTGTCGGTTTCGGTTCAAGGGACGTTGAGCTTCCCCCCGCGGGCGGCTCTTCCCTTGGCGACCGGCAGGGGAATACGGTAACGTGGTTGACCCTAACGTTATCGTGGGTGAGCTGGGTAGGCTTCTTTGCGGGCTGGTCTGTTTGGGTCCTACGGTGTCATCCCAGAAGATTGGCCAGTTTGACGGGTGTTCTGTTGAGAGGTCGAGTCCACCATGGCTAGGAAGAACCGTTGGTGTGGGGGATCAGCGGCTGTTTGTCTTGCTCATGGGGAGAGGCATCTGGCACAAGCACTGTCACAGCCCTCATATGTAAGTAAAAGTAGGGTGCAAAAACGAAGATTTCGTCAGCAATTTAGATTACAGGCTCGGAGGCGAAAGTTGGCCAAACTTAAGAAGCACACATGTTCAAACAGAGCTCGGGAACGGCGGGTTAAGCTTTTAGCTGCCCAATGCAAGGCGGCCCGTAAGTTGAAGCTCTTGACATGGAACACCCGGGGGTGGGGGGCGGTCTACTCGCAGTTTGATCCTGTGGTACGGACCCGGAACATGTTGGATTTTTTGGATTCGAAGGGAGTGGGGCTTGCGGTTCTTACTGATGTTAAATTTCCTGTCCAAGGACTTCGGAAGTTTCAGAGTGAAGCACAAGAATGGATGGTTCTGATCACGGGGCCCGTCGCGTTTGCGATGACCTCAGTCTGGTTTCAGTGGTGGCAGGCCGGCGGAGCTCGATTCTTCACAGGTTCCAGCACTAGTGGTAGTCCGAGAGTTGCCAGTATCTATTTTGGTCGGGTGGGTTGGAAACGAGGTTTGTTTGTTGTGGGGGTGTATGCTCCGACCTCGAGAGCCCCATTGTCGGATCGAGATGCGGTTTGTCGGCAGGTTTTGGAATTGTTGGAACAAGCTCCTGGCTCTTCACTTCGTGTTGTTCTTGGCGATTTTAATGCGGAATTTGGTTTACCGTTGCAAGAGTGGGGGGATGTTTTAGGACCTTATGGGTATCCTCGTCGCTCGCAATCTGGCACTGAATGGTTGCAGTGGTGTCGGTTACATGGTTTCATTGATGCGGCTAGTTTTTATGCGCAGCATTCCCGGTGGACATGGTGGCATCCTAGATTTGGCACTAAACATATTTTAGACCACTGTTTAGTGGATGGTAGACATCGCTGGCATTTGACGCATTGCAGGGTTTTTCACCCAGTACCCCCTCTGGGGCACCTACACAGATCATTGCCCCGTCCTTTTGACATTAAGACAAGGCAAGATGTGGGCCCCCCGTGACCAACCCCCCAATAGGGTTAAGCAGCCTAATGTGGCCAAGCTTTGGGGGATTGGGGTTCATGTGTGTGACTTTCGGCGGAAGTTTGAAGAACAAGTAACTTTGGGATTGCAAGAGTTACAGCGCTCCGCGCCTAATGTCCCGGCGTCCTGGTCTGAGGTCGTCTCTGTCTGTCGCAATGCGGCTTTTGAGGTTCTAGGGGAGGCACGCCCCACACCCAAGCGGCCCTGGTTGGAAGGGCACTGGGAGGCATTACAAGGTCTTGACACACAGGTGACAATGGCCCAACAGCAAGATCGTTTGGTTCGACAGGTGGCGCAACCCTGGGATCCTGTCCATCAAGCACAGGTCATGCAGGCTAGGCTCATGTTGCGTCGAGCTAGAGCGGAGCGTAAGTACCAATTGGGAGTATGGGAGGCACAATATTGGGGCGACCTTGCCCATCAGGCTTTGCTAGCTGAACGAACACGCAACACGGGCGAACTGTTTCGTTTGCACACATTGTTGGGAGCACATCAGCAGCTACGGAAAAGTGATGGGTCTCGCATGACATACATAGATGTCGAAGGTGAAAGGGAAGCCTGGAAAGCGCACTTTGCCGCAATTCAGTCGGGTGCTGGGAGGGTGCAGGATCGAGTGTGGCAAAACATCCCACGCGTAGCGGCGGTAGCACATTGGTTGGCTGAAACTCCCACGGCAGAAGAAGTTGAGCGGTGTATCGGACAGATGCATAATCGTAAGGCGGCTGGGGAAGATGGGTTTGTGGCTGAATTTCTCAAGTACGGAGGGTCATGTTTATTGCACACGGTACATGAGATTGTGGTAAAGGCTTGGCGTGCGGCGAGTAGTGGCGAGCAGGGTGAGGAGGCGGTTGAGTGGCCGGTTGAGTGGCAGGTAGGGTTGGTTGTTCCACTGTGGAAACAAAAAGGGAGTAAGGAAGACAAGAACACATGGCGGGGCGTAACCTTGTTGAGTGTGGGCACAAAGGTGTTGGCGAGGTTGGTTGCTAATAGGCTGGTGCGCTGGTGCGATTCTTGGTTAGATGAAGCACAAACTGGTTTCCGTCCAGGGCGTGGAATTGATGATGTGTTGCAAGTGTCTCGACGGGTGGCCGAGGAAGTGGCCCGGGTGGATAGCGATGAGGTGGTCTTGCTACGATTTTTCGATATAGAAAAGGCCTATCCACGGGTCTGTCGACCCGCTATGTGGGAGGTTTTGCAAAGGAGGGGGTGTCCTGACGGGATGATACGTGTGCTCCAAGGTTTGCATGAACGGACAGCGATGAAAGTACGGGTGCATGGAGGGGTATCCACTGCGTATTACCCGGAGAGAGGGCTGCGTGAGGGCTGCCCGAGCAGTCCGGTTTTATTTAACATTTTCCACGATGCAGTGATGCAGGATTATAGATGCCGACGCCGTGAAGCCGCCGAAGCTAGGGGACAGATGCCTGGGCTGATTTGGGAATATAAGGTAGATGGTAAGTTATGTAAGAGACATGTGGGTCGTTTGCAGGTTGGGCAGGAGACGGGTGAGGTGTTGATAGGTGATTTCGGCTACGCCGATGACACTGGAATTTGTGGGGTGGCTGAGGAAGTGGTTGGTGCTGAACAGTTGTTTACTGTGGTGTGTGGTGATTGGGAAGAGCGGGTGCACCCGCAGAAAACGGAGGGCTTGCGCATTTGTGGGCAGGGAAGGAGTGCGATCGATGTACCAAACCATGGCGAAACTAGGGCGGTCAAACATGTTGGGGGATGGGTGTCGGATAAGGGTAATGCTACTGCGGAGACAACTCAGAGGCGGGCGCAGGTGACTCGTAAGATGATTTCGGTTTCGCGGTCATGGTCTTTTCGGGGTTCTAAAATTCGGGGCAGGGGGGGTTCTCTCAAGCGATCTGTGCGGTTGACTATTGCCAAGGCCGTAATCATCCCCACGGCGTTGTCCACTGCTAGAACTCGCGCTTGGAACTCTCTTATGATCACTCGTTTGGACCAGGTGGTCAAGCAGAGTTTGTTTAAGTGTTGGGGTCTTCGGTACAGTGATTTGCACGAGTATCATATTTCGTATGAGATGCTGCGGCGGGCTGCGGGGTGGCCTTCGACGGCTCACTTGGTAATGAGAGCGGCTCTTACATGGCTCGGACATGTAGCTAGGATGCCGGTGACTCGGAGACCTAAACAGGTTTTGTTTGGGTGGTGGAAGGGGCGGACTCTGAAAGCACACACATTTGTGGGGCAGGCTCGATGGTTGGAGCGTTGTTTGGCACGGGCTGGGATCCCTGTTGGCGATTGGTTTCGATTAGCTCAGAACCGAACAGCCTGGCGTAAGCGGATCTATGATGCTTTTCCTGAACGACGG